CTTGCCCAAGGTCAATAGCAATTAAGTGACAACATAAAGTATTTAAACTCGGTTCTGACTCTGATTTAAACTTGGTTCTAGCACTTACTAATATGCAAATATGTCAAGCATTTCTTTTTTTTTTTCCTCTTTAAATTTTTTTATTTTAAAGATATGGGGTAAAATTCAGGGTTAGGTATACAAATGTTCATTATGTAGACACCTTTGTGTCAAGCATTTCTGAATGTGCTATAAGATAAAGCAAATTGAGAGGGTAGGAGAGAGAGAGAAAGAATGGAAGGGAGGGAAGCGGGGAGGGAAAGAGGAAGGGAGGTAGGGAAGGAAGAAAAAAAAAGATAAAGCAAATCTTAGCAAGAGGGAAAAAGTTAAAAAGTACTCTTACTTAGTAAGCAGACTGAAGTGTTAATGCACTATATCAAAGACTGAAGCATGAAGCAGTTCATTACGTTTCAGTAGAGTTATGTATATTTAATGACCAAAATTTACATGACTGTACACATATGCTAATGAACTTTCAAATCTTTAGGTTAGTTCTATTTTAGCTGTTTGACTAAATTATAAAATTCTCAAATGGCCTCAACACTTCAAACATACTAGGTTTAATTATTTCACTTCCGGGAAGAAAAAGTCCCTGAAAGAATGGCTAATTAAGTTTGGAGATATCTATAGCAGTTAAACAAAAATTTGATAGTGAGAATAATTAATTTCTCAAAAGCAGGCTGAACTAAAACTCACGATTTGTTGGCATTGGAATTTTGTTTGTTGATTTTAGATAAACTCTAAAAAAAGTAAAGTTTATTTATAAAATTCCATTTTATCCCATGGTTGATCAAAAGCCAGCTAAATGTCCGAAAAAAATGTGGAAGAGCTATTTTACTTTAAAATTTCAATATCCTTCTGACTTAACGGTTTGAATACCCAGAGACATCTGGCAAAAAATATAGAGACACTCATCAAGACAAACGTGATTAATATTATTTAAATGTTCATTCTTTAGCTTTATTAATCCCAGTTTTCGTCCCCTTGATTTTTTTTCTTCACACTAATAGCATATAGTATAGATTAGAAAGTTTCTAATCACAAATTTCAAGAATCTTATTAACTACAAAACAGCTCACCATGGGTGTCTGTGGTTGTATGCATGCCTTTTCCTGATATTTCTTCAAAAGCATAACAATTATATAGTCACATATATGACAGAGGGCAGTCTTCTCAAGTTTATCCCTTTCAAATATTCTATCTACTATATTTATTTATCACATCCCTGACCAAAAATTACTTATCTGTGAACATAAAACCAAAAAAAAGTGAAATCTATAATCTAGAAATAGCTGAAAATTATCCTACTCCATCTCAATCCATTAGCTACATTCCGTTTGTTGTTCTAGATTTTTCTCACAAGGGAGCTTGCTTTGATTATGACAAAGTACAAAGACAATAATATTTGTAGCAAAGCAGACTTTAAAACCTAATGACAACTTTTAAGAAAAACCTCCCTGATATGTCAACATTTTTTACAATTGATAATACTAATATTAATTATTAATTATTCAATGAAACTTAAGTTCTCATATCGTTATTTTCTGATTCTTGAAAAGATTCAAAGTGCTTTTAAACAAGAAAATTCAGTTAATCCCTTCTGAGTATTTACTATCAATTCCATTCTATACTTTTATTAGTAGTAGTAGTAGTATTTCTTTGAGTAGTAGTATTTCTTTGAGTAGTATTTCTCTGTCACCCAGGCTGGAGTGCAGTGGCACACTCACGGCCACCTCAGTGTCCACCTGCTGGGTTCCGGCGATCCTTTCACCTAAGCCTTTCAAGTAGCCGGAACTATAGGCGCACACTACCATGCCTGGCTAATTTTTGATTTATTATAGAGATACGGTCTCACCAAGTTGCCCGAGCTGGTCTCGAACCTGCAGGCTCAGGCAATCCACTCGCCTCGGCCTCCCAAAGTGCTAGGATTACAGGCTGAGTCAACGAGTCTGGCCTATACTTTTATTATTATACATTGCCAAAATTACAAATACTTTCATTCATTAAAAAGCACCCAGACAACTGAGCATGGTGGCTCATGCCTGTAATCCCAGCATTTTGGGAGGCTCAGGTGAGAGGTTCAAGACTAGCCTGAGCAAGTTGGTGAGACCTCATCTCTACAATAAATAAAAAAATTACCTGGGTGTGGTGGCACACACCTGTAGTTCTAGCTACTTGAGAGACTGAGGCAGAAGGATTCCCTGAACCCAGCAGGTCAAGGTTGCAGTGGCCATGAGTGTGCCATTACACTTCAGTCTAGGCAACAGAGTGAGACTCCAACTCAAAAAAAACCACCACCCAGACAATTAAAGTACCTAACCTTTACAATCACATTACCAATTCTAAAAGAGTATTTTGTCTACTCACAGATAAGTGATGATGTATCATCTGGAAACTGAAGGCTCCCTCTCAAAGAAATAAATCAGTTGCCCCATCCTTCCCTTGTTTAAAACAAGGTTGCTGTTTCTGGCTGTGAAAAGGCTGAGAAGTTGTCTCCTGGCATGTGTATATTAATCAAAATACTGGCAGGGAGACAATTATAATTTTCAGGGAGTACTTCTGTTGTAGTTTGATGTGTTAGCAGATTATAAACAAGAAAAAAAAGTTTGGTAAAAAATGATTATAGTTCATTTTAAATGAAAACATAAAACTCAAAAACCTTAGGCTACAATTGACAATTACTACTTTATAACTTATGCTAATTTTTCATGTTTCTTATAGTAATACTTGTGTTAAGTAAAATCTATCACTTATTTCTCAAATAGTCTCCTGTACAAGAAATGAATAAAAATACCTGGTACTACATTTCAAATTACTTTAAAATAACCTTAAGTTCAAGGACCACACAAAAGTATTTTTGAAAACCATAGTGGATCACACACTGGAAGAAAATACAGGTATCTCTTAATTTGAATTTGTAGAAAACTCAGCAATTGAACATACCAATAGAAATAGGAAAAAGCAAGAAAATTAAGAGAGACGATGCTTAGGCAAACACACACACACACACACACGCACACCCCTTTTTCCTTACTAAGTAAATCTAGCTTAAGGTATATTTGTTTCTTCACTGTGATTATACAGGTATTATCAATTAGAAAGACATTTATATCTGATTCTAAGTAAAGTATATGGGCAAATACATTTATCTTTTTTTTTTTTTTTAAGTTGGGTCCTCACTCTGTCACCCAAGCTGGAATGAAACAGCATGATCACGACTCACTACAGTCTCAAATTTCTAGGCTCAGGTGATTCTTCCGCCTCAATCTCCCAAGTAGCTGGGACTACAAGCTCATGCTACCGTGCCCAGATAATATTTTTATTTTATTTTTTTTGTAGAAGCAATGTCTTACTATGTTGCCTGGGCTGGTCTTGAACTCCTGGGATCAAGCAATCCTCCTACTTTGGCCTCCCAAAGTGCTGGGATTATAAGTATGAACCATTATGCCTAGCCAAATACATTTATCTTACAGGTATTTAAACAGAAAAATCAATCCAGGCTTGCACTGGATATATTGTGACATAAGCTTTCTCCAATTGAGAATATTTTCAGAATATTTTAATAAAAAATAATGGAGTGGAAGGAAACAGAAGCCAGGAAAAGGAAAACCCTTAGGAAGAAAGATCATAACATTTCTTCATATAACTATATTAAGAAAAAAATATAATCTTTTAGTTTTCACTGTAATTCTAACACGTAAAGGCATTTAGCAGACTTCACTATGACTGAAGACATATCTATGAAATGTGGATCCTGTATAAATTTATAATGAGAAGAAGCAGATGACATTATGTAGAAACTGCTCCAGACAGAGAATCAAGAGACTTAGTGAGGAGCAAGCCTCGTACATTTGTAGGGTACCTCTGGGCAAATTAGAAAAGGGCATTCTACTCTGGGTAGCCATAGCTCAGGCCTTGATTGGCATGCAGGCTGGCTGTCAGTCCCTACTCAAACCTTCCACTTAGTGCAGTATATGTCAACTCCAGATGTGGCAAACTCAAACTTGGTTTTACCATTTATTAGCTTGGTGTCTTAAACAAGCAATTTAACTAAGGTTCAATTTATTTACCTCCAATATGGAGAGTACAGAGTCCTGTTAAAAAGGATCATTAAGTATTACATGGAATGTTTGCCAAAATACCTAGTACAGGGCTCAGTAGACACTTAAGTAAATGGCAAAGTGATGACAATGACAATAAAAATGTTTTCTTTCCACAGAAAAGTAGAAATATCTCTTTTTTCACATCTAAACAACAGTAAACCACCAAGAAATAAAATGCACTCTTAACATTAGTTCAGTGAACACTCGTGAGTATGTGCATGCGTATGCGAGAAGGGCAGGTAGTGAATTCAATGATCACACGTTCTAAGTTTGGGAACATGCATTTGACATAAATCTCTTGTAGATTTATAATGCCTATTAACATTCTAAAGGCTCTAAGAAGTCCTAGAATAAGACACTAATTAACTTATTTATAGTGCTCTCAAAATTTATTTGGCCACAGAATTCTGTCTGTCTATATCTAGTTATATCTCATAGAAATAGGGTTTTGTTTTTGTGTTTTTTTTTCATAGAATTGAATTTGGGGATAGTATAGCCATTAATTAAATAAATCAAACAGAGTGTAAGCTACAGTTATTCATTTCATTACTATTTTTACTATCTTTAAGAAAATCAAAAATTAAAAATCTGAAAATTGTTTTTCAATTTTGTATAAAAATTTGTAAGTTTCATAAAAAGCTAAATTTCAAGGCTTTAAATATTTAGGCCACATGCTTTAGCTCTATGTGGTTAGCAATAAGCAACAGTCACTATGTGGTCTTTCCAAGAAAAAACCTGATCTTGGTGTGCAATTCAAATTGCTATTACTTACTTTCTCTTAATCCCTTCTTCCTATCCATATATAAGACATAGATAAACTAAAGCAAAGCATTTTCTATTATCTTTCTATTTACTTACCTAATATTTTCACAGCATAATGAGGACTTTCTAAGACAATTCCTTCCTCTGTATCAAATATAGGATTATCTATTCCAGTCTTTGGAGGAACTTGGGCTAGTTTCTTAAGTCTCATGGAAGAATTAAGGTCAAGTTCTTGCTTTTTCCCTTCTTCTTCTCGCCTGCGTCTCATGTCCTCCTGTTGTTGCCGAATACGCTCCAACTGTGCACTTCGACGTACTGGCATCAACCTGGTGCCCAAATCTCCGGGGCAGTCAACAGCCATCTCTCGGTGCTTCTGATACTCCTCTGATGATGCAAAACCAACATTTTTTACTTCGCTGTCTGATTCTTCCGTAACATGCCCATTCATATGGGATGTTGTCATGGTTATCTATAAAAATCCCGTACCACTTTTTAAAATCAGTTTTTCCTATAAAGCCAATTTTCTTGATTCTGTAGTATAAAATCCATGTTACTTCAAAAAAATTCTCACATCACATAATAATGCTATGAAAAATATCCATGAAGGAAATCTAAGGGGAAAGATGAGGGAAAAAAGTATAAAGCATAAGAATTACAATATAAAAGTAGATTTTACATAGCCTACTTCCAATCTCCAAACAATATAGAAAATAGCTAATAAGTATATAATATTATTTTGCTTTGTAGGTTAAGTACTTTCCTTTCATTTTACAGATAATGCTAAGATATCAAGATGTTTAAAAAAAAAAAAGTGCCCTCCCAAGAATTTGAAGCATACTATTCAATTTTACAGCTGAGAAAAATAATATACAGTACTGGATAATTTAGAAAAGTAGGAAAGTGAAAACTACTGGATACCAGTATAGTAGAAAATAAGTTGCTCAAAGCATAAAAAGGCGTTTTAATCACCTTTTAATGCTGTCTCAGCACAGTACTTTATGCTCAATTTATGAACATGAGATTTAAATAACTTTAGTCAACTGCTAAATAAATTGATGCATATGGCAGCCACACTAGTGGCTCATTTGAGATACAAGCAGTATTTTGGGATATAATTCATTAATTTTTGGTTTTTTAGATGAAGATGCCCAATGAACAAAAAACTTTAATAACAGCTAAGGCATCTACAGAATAAAACTACATTAACTGAGAAAGGGATTACATGGGTAATCTTTATAATTGGTCACATTTTCAAAAAGATTTGGGATTACTCTTTGTAAGAATTCATTTGGAGAAAACAGTGGTATTTGTTAACATTCAAAAAATTTTGAAAGTCATCCCATATATTAAGAGCACAGTGAATGTAAGGACAAGAAAACTGAATTTTAACTCCTCTAGCTTTATGATTTAAGACCATTTTGTCTCTTTGAACCTTAGATTCACTTGGAAAATTTATTCATAAGATTGAATGCTCTAAAAAAAAAGATTGAATGCTCTGAGTTTTAATGAGATAATGTACACAAGTTATAAATGTATGCAATAAAAATGATACTTATACTATTAGCATATTAACTTAAATCTCCTATTTTAAAGAATTTTTCAACATACTTTAGAAAAGAAAAGCATTACTGGATGACACTGACTTTTCATCAAGCCATTTTTCAGGCATAAATAGGCAGATTGTTTACATATACGTAAACCCACACACTAAAATCTAATTAGTCCTCTTTCACTCATGACTTTGAAAATATTTACAGTAATAAATCTACTGCCTCCTTGAGTTGTGCTCCCTTCAGTAAACAGGTTTGTTAGAGCACAATGCCAACTAAGCAAAAGCCAGGTTTTCATAAAATATTCTTTTTTTTTTTGGAGTTGGAGTCTGTCACTCTGTTGCCCAGATTGGAGTGCAGTGGCTGCTCCCAGCCACCGCAGCCTCGATCTGCTGGGCTCTGGCCATCCTTCTGCCTCAGCCTTCCAAGTAGTTGGAACTACAGGCGCGCGCTACCACACCCGGTTAGTTTTTTGATTTATTGTAGAGATGAGGTCTCACCAAGTTGCCCAGGCGGGTCTCTAACGCATGGGCTCAGGCAATTCACTCACCTCTGCCTCCATAAAATATTCTTAACACCAGTCAATCTTTTCTCAAACATCTCAGGTCACAGTACAAATAAGAGACAGAAGACGGAATGCTTAACACAAACCCACCTAGGATACAAGGAAAAACAGCTAGGCCAAAAATCAGGAAAATGAGAAGTTACATGAGTCACTAAAATGATATTTTCATAAGAATTTTGGTAGATTTTTGTCATTCATCCAAATTTTAGCTTCTTTATTTATAACTATGTGATGTACACATAAGTACATTACTGACCACTGCAGTGCCATCTTTCTCATTAACATGAGAGCTAATATATTTATGTCAGGCAGTTCTTAAGTTTTACATGTTCATATGCAAATACAAATTAGTTTTTTAAATGTTTTCATTAAAAGTAAGTTGAAATTTGTGTAGGGGTTACTGCAGTACTGTGCTTAATTTTCATTTTAAAAATCTAGGCATAAGCCGGGCTCAGTGGCTCAGCCTGTAATACCGCACCTTTGGGAGGCTGAGGTGAGTGGACTGCCTGAACCCGAGGGTTCGAGACCCGCCTGGGCAGTGAGACCTCATCTCTACAATAAATCAAAAACAAATCAGTCAGTTGTGGTAGCGCATGCCTGTAATTCCGGCTACTTGGAAGGCTGAGGCGGAAGGATCGCTAGAGCCAAGCAGGTTGAGGCTGTGGTGGCTGGGAGCGGCCACTGCACTCCAGTCTGGGCAACAGGGTGAGACTCCAACTCAAAAAAAAAAAAAAAAATCTAGGCATATACATATTTCCAGAAAATTAAAACTCTCAATCTTCTCTACTTACAAAAATTATCAAATATAAAAAATCAAATTTAAAAATAGTGTATTTTTTACTTAATGTATATACTAGTCTATAAAAAATATGACCTGAAACTAAAGCTCAGTTTAAAAACTCTATGACTATATCTATATTTACTACACTAAATCATGAGGGAAAATTATGGGTCATACAAGAGAGACTGGGCCTAGTGATATGGGTCAGAATTCTCAGGCTTGGATTACTATTATCATGCTTGTCTATCCGAATCTAGTCTTTTACTCTCAGAAAAATTTCTGCAACCTGATAGTAATCCACTTAAAATTCCATTTTGGCTATCTTCCAGGAGTGTTCACAGTCTACTGGGAGAGACAACAACAACAAAAAGATTATTCTTCGCTAATTAGTCTCTCCTTACCAGATTCTAAATTTGTTAAAGAGTCATGTCTTATTTTCATTCCCCCAGTGCTTAGCATAATATGTATCATATAAGAAATGCTCAATAAATATCTGTTCAACTAAACTTAGAAAGTCATAAATTCTCAGAGGTTTCACAGACTCTGAACTTTAAAGCTTAGTCTGTGGTAAAAAGTGACAGTTACCACTCAAAACATAAGAATATGTTTCTTTGGGCATTTCAAAGGGAAACTAAAAATTAGGCAGACAGAAAAAGGGTCTATTTCAAGAAAACACATGACCAATAGGAAGGAAGAGTATAAGAGAACGGCACTTTCAGAAAACAGAATAGAATGCAATAAAATTGGATGGAACAATGAGAGAACACCATAAAGAATAACAATAAAACTGGAAAAGAAGTGGGAGGCCAGACTCAGAAGAGTTTTAGTCCTTTACCCTGTACGGAGTTAAGAATAATTAAAAGCTTTTCAGAGGGGATGACATGATCATATTCGCTTTTATAGAAATCACTCCAATCAAAATGTAGAGGATTGACTGAAGGGTGGTAATGAGACCAGACTGAAAGCATCTGAAAGAAATGGAGTCTTGAGAACCAGGTTAGTGAGAATGAAGAAAAGTTATATTCAAGAAATATGTGGGTTACAGAATCAGCAGAACTTAGTGACTATCTCACATAGCAGGGCAAAAAGAGAAGAGAAAGAGGTGGAGGAGGAGGAGGAAGAAAAAGTAGTGGTAGTAGTAACAGTAACACCTACCACTACAGCTAAGATTTACTGAGCATTTCTTTATTTGCCAGACAACATTGCAAGCACTTCACACGGCATTCACTCACTTAACCTTCATTACAGCTCTCAAAGTAGGTCCACGTAAGTTTATTTTGTAGATGAGGAATGAGGATTGAAGTAGGCCTTGAAGACAAGATGGAGGAATAAGGGAGGGGCCATATGAACCAAAGGCAGGAAGATAAAAGGTATGGAGGGAAGTACAAATAAGGCTAGTTGATCTAAAACAGGTGAGTAGTGGGAGATTTGACTAGAAAGTTTGACTGGGTTTACCTTAGGAGAGGTCTTAAATACAAATCCTTAATTCTGGAGGCACCAGGAGAGTCATCAAAGATTCAGAAAAGAGTGATTTGTATACATTTAATTGATCATATACCCCGGCTAGGTATTAGGGTTACAGAGACAAGATCTTTGTCCAATATGCCATCAAAATTTCCTATAGGGATCTAGAAATTAATATGTATAAACTTAAATTCATATTTACTTTTAATCCCTTCATATTCTCTTTAATCTTCTTTCTCTGTTTCCAAGTCCAATTAATGTCATCATACCCATCCAGTTACTCAAGACAGCATAACGTTTAAGAGAACAGCTTCCAGAATCCGACAGCCTAGGATCTAATCTTTTCCTACTCTCCTTTTAAGCCTTAGTTCAAATATATCTTCCTCTGGATTCCTACAATGCCTGTCACATTCTTCATCAAGCCGAACTAGAGCTATTTATTTATTTATTTTTGAGTTGGAGTCTCACTCTGTCGCCCAGACTGGAGTGCAGT